GCCCTTTTCGATAAAGGGCACTTTTATTGATTCTTACTGTAGCATCAAGGGCCTACAAACACAATGAACACACCAAGCCTCTGCGCAGTTAGGATGCACACAACCACCACACGCACACAAAATGTCACGCCGGCAGTGAGCAAAGTCATACAAGACCGAAGCTATGCCTGGGTAGAAGAAATAAATCAAAAGCGATCAAACCAACGATCGACGAAATACGGAAACAACCATCGCATGACTACATAAGGACTATGATAAAGGTTTCTTCAATAGCAATGCCTTCAGGAAGGGAATGTCGCATAAATGCCGTCAACACCGGATCTTACAACTGAAGGTAGATCATGGGTTTTCACCCTGAAGACTAAGTCCGAGAAAACTACATGCATTTCCTTCAAAAAGGTATACCACCATTGCCAGGTATAACCAAGTAGGTCAAACCTAGGGCTTTCACCCCGGTGCTTTGGACTAGGTACTTGAGAAGCACCACCAAATCGAAGACATGATGTATTGTCACCTCCATTTCCCTGATCTCACCAAAGAAGAAATGTAATAGAGCCGCAAAAATCCAAATTACGGATGCTCAAGCAACCCGACATGACTATGGCAAATCTGCACTAACAACCAAAATCAATGAACGCCGACCATTGATGTGTCGTCCACACCGGCAATGCAGCATCATCCGTGTGTCCGAGTGGAGTAACGCCTCATGGGAACATAGATGCATGTCACACACAAACCTGCAAATCACATGATTCAAACCACCAGTGTAGAACCTTTAGATCTTCACACATCCAGCTGTATGCATGTCATCAGTCTGTTGCATCGCTTCCACGGCCCTCCAAAGCCATAGAGGACAGGGCACTTCGCAACTCTCGTTTCGATCATCGTATTAGCTGTCGCCAGACCACGGAATACCACACGATAATGGCAATCTGTCTAGCCGCTCCAGACTGAAACTAGGGCAGCAGTAGCCCTGACCCATGAATCGGTTCAATCCTGCATCCACCAACGGAACATCGCAACCAACCACGTGGTTTCTCGGAGAAGCTTTGCTCGATTTGGAACCCTCACAACAAGCCAGCCACGTAACAAGTGGCAGCACAAACAGAGCATGAAGGAGACGAGACAAATCAAGAGGAGGTTTTATGGAGAAAGAGACAGGGAGGGATGCAGTCATAGAGGGAAGGCCCGCCGCCGCCGACAGGTCCGCCGTGGAGGCCACAACCGACAACGGTGAGGAGGAATGATTAAGGAGGCGGTCGAGGTTGGCGGCGGCGGGGCTTCCTTGGGAGTCGGAAAGACTAACCCAGGAGGTGGCTCTCGTATCATGCCCTACAAACTAAGAAATAGGCCCCCACCACCTATTGCCCCATAGAACTGAATTGTGTTGTTCATGCATT